GTGAGGAAGGGTGAGAGTGGAGGCCCTGGCGAGCCCAGGACGGGGGGACGGGTCAGCTCCACGCTTGAAAATGAGCAGAGTGACGAGGGGGCTGTTGTCTGGAAGGGTCTGTTGACACTTCAGTGTCTCTGAGTTTTACCTTGTTCATAGTTCACATCTGTCTTATGCCCGGATGAAGGACATAGAGGTGTTTGGCCTTTCCACCACAGAGAATGTTAAAACACTCTAAAAAGCAAAGCAAAGGGCACAAGTTGTCTTTGCCAGGGTGCAGGTTGTGCTCGATACCCCTGCCTGCATCTGTCCAGTCCCTAGAGGGTGTGAGCACCGTGAGCAGCAGGTTGCGTGAGCAGTTGTGCGAGTTCCTACCCGCATGAACAGCTGCCGTTGGCTTCCCTGAGCGTTTACCGGGGGCCGCAGTGAGCGGAGCAAGCCCCTCTGCGGCAGGTGCAGGGTAAGCGGTTGCTGTCCCCAGCCTGCTCCCAGCTGTCATTCCTGGCGCTTTTTCTGCAAGTTTATTTCCTTCGGTTACTTCCTCTCAGTAACACAGCTATAATTCAGATAGAGCAGGTGGGAACAACTGAGCCTAAATATCTCCTTGTGGCTCTGTTTACGTGGCTTATGCCGTCGATTTGCCATGAAATGTGCAAGTCTGAGGTTCAGTGTGCTGGGGTGAAACAGGGAGAAGCGTGTGTGCTCTGCCTTCGAGCAACCGTGCTGAAGTACTGACATGTTCAGTGCAAGGCACGTTCAGCTCTGGCTGCCCGAGCGCCTCTTGCTGTGCGCTTGGGCACAGGGCATGGCCCAAACCCTCCCTCCCACTGAATGGGGAGACTGGGTGCTTTTCTTGCTGCTTTTCCAAACTTCAGCTCTACTGGTTTTGAGTTATTTCCAGAAGTCTCCTGTTTCCCCCACGCCCACCTCTGCCGAAGGAGGAATTGCACCGTATCTCCCTCCTCCTCCTAGGGCCTGCCGTACTCGTGCTGCTCGTCAGCAGTTGCGCTGGGACGAGCCCGCGTCTGCCTTGCTGTGAGCACGTGCTCTCCTGGGCCTCCTGCAAAACGTGTCACCACGAGGGCGAGGAGAAGGGCTGTGTCTGTGGGAGCCCCGAGCCTGAGTTTTGGGAGGGGGTGCAGCAGTGGATGGGTTAAATGGTGCAGTTGCAGACCTGGGTCTGCGCTAAGCAGGTGCCATGTGGCTGCTTTAGCATCCAGTCCTCCTCGAGTTCAAAGTGCAGCATCTGTTTTTCAAGTAGGAAGCTAAGATGAAATTGTGAAAGTCTGTTTTTCTTGCAAGTATCTGCACTGTGTCTTGGGCTCCCTGAGCCCCAGCAGTTGCCCAGAGACTGTTGAGCCAGCTGCTTTTCCTGCTGTGCAGATTTGGCCTCTTTCGCTTTCTGCCTCTTTCCTTCGTGACAGCTAGGAAGGACCGGGTAAGAACCGTTTAAGGATTTTCTTTCGACTCTTTTTGCATGTAATAAGTCTTTCATAACCAGGCACCAGAAACCAGTCTGGTGCACAAGCTACGGGCAGGAAGAGCTCTCCAGACCTTGCAAAGCCCAGCTTGATGTAGTGACCAACTGCAGTGTGCCAGCAACCACAGACCGATGGAGCTACAATAGCCCCAAAGGGGGGATTCTTCTATGGACGTGGGTAGTGAGGAGATCCTTTGGGACACCACAAGCCGCCAGACCCTCAGCTCCCGTGACACTGCTGCTGGAGCGGTCAGCTAGGAGACTGTGCTTGTTTTATGGGATGCGAGTTACTGAGGTGGTCACTGAGCTAACCATCTTCTTTTAATTTGGTGCTTCCTTAAGCAGCCCTCTATTAAAGCCAAAAGTCTTTGCTTTTAAGTGCTCGATCGTATGGAGCCAGTGGGGGTGCATGTGTGCAGCAGCTGCCCCTGCACAAGCTCCGGTTTCTGATAAGGGATTTTCCCATTTTGGGGCAGGCAGGTTTGAATATGTTTGGGCTAAGTCAAAGGCAGAGATGAAATGGCTTGTGCTGCAAATTAGGGAGAAATGATTCAGATGAGTTAAGCCATCATAGATGTGTCACATCTGTTCCAAAATGTGGGTGCTGAAGTAGCATCAGCTTAAAAACATGGCTGCAGAATCTGGAGGCAATACTTATTTTTAGATTGCACAGATGAAGAATTTTGTATTTTTGACTGTTTTTAAAATAAGCATCCTGCTTTTAGGCCTTTGAAAGTTACATCTCCAGTACCTGGAAAACTATGGAAAAACTGATTTAGTCAAGTTGTGCTGTGAACAAAACCCAGCTTCCTCCTGCCTTCCCCCTACTCTCAGCTGCTTCCAGTGTTCTGACCGTCAGTGGCAATGTATGGGATTGTGTTTGAATTTTTTTCATTTTTTTTTTTAAGTAATCGGACAAAGCTCTTCTGCTATTTGTGAAACACTTCAGGCTTAGCCAGGCACCTTCTGACTGGTCCTCAGAGCTGTATTCTGCTGGCGAGATACTCCTGCTGGCCACTGCTTTCTAATTTGGAGCGTGTTGAAATACTAAACATCAACATGAAGCACCCACCCCTGAAAGGTTTTCAGTGGTGGAAACCCACAGTCCATGCTTTTTTTCAAAAAAATGCAGAGGCCAACTTTACATTTACTTCCATTCGTTATTGTATGATTTTCCTGGGTTTACAGTGCTACTTTTGTGGAAAATTGCCATCTTTATGATCCCTGCAGCTAATTCTCTATTTTTTTCTTAGCTGCAAGTTCTTCTTTAAAAATGCTTAGGTACGAAAGCAGGAAGGCAAAAACCTTTCCTGAGGCTGCAGGCGCAGGAGGGTATCGGCGGGAGCCGCTGCTTCCCGCCTCGCTGCGGCGCGGGACGTTCCCGGCCGCTCGGGTCACCCGCTGCTGAGGAGGGAAGTGCTGCATCGGGCCGCGTCCCCGTAACCGCAAAGGCGCCACTCTCCTTTGGTCGTCTCCACAGCGAGTCGAGTTTCCTTTCTTAGACTTCCTTCAAAGGTCCATGAAAGACAGAGCCTTTATTCTGGCATCTCGGTGGCTCTGCTCTCGCCTCGTGTTGGTTGCATGGTGGTCACAGCATGTAATTTTGGTGCGCTGGTTTTAGTGATACCATATGGAGGAACTGAAAATCATGTTTGCTGTAGAATTTCCCATGTGGCAAAGTTATCTCTGTAGAATAGATTTGTGCTCTGGTAGGGCCACATGCAGTCGAAGAGGAGTTTTGTTGATTTGCTAGTCTTGATTTACTTTTTTATTTATGCTTTATATAGCTATTCCCTAGATTAACAGTTCTGTAAGAATATATGTAGTAATCCATGAACTTTTTTCTTTCATTCTTTTTTTTTTTCCCCCTCCAGGTATCTTAAAAACCAACTTGGTTTGGACAGGACAGGGCTTCAGAGAGGCCAGCAGTTCTGTGGCTCGGCGCCTGCATTTGGAGTGTCAGCATGTGATGCAGGACCCTGAAACACGTGAGCTTTGGATCAAAGCGGTGATTTGGATTCTGGGCAGCCTGTGAATGTGCCTGTGGACCAGGAGGTCCCAGCTGCCTTTGGGGAGCATTCCCTGTGCAGAGCCCCGCTCAGAGCCACATGCTGGCACCTCTCGAGAGGACCTCTGTCACCAGAGACACATTCGCAGTGGCCCATGGGCCTAGCGAGGCAGCAATGGTTAGAAATGTTCCTGTGTCCGAAACATCCTAAAGCCCATTCTCACAGACCTGCAAATGATCTCAACTTGTGTATTTAGCATGTTAAGCTTAGTTAATGTTTCATTTTTAGATCGCTATCTGCATAATAAAAGCTTAGTGCCTTTAAAATACAAGACCAAGGATTTTTAAGCTACAGGCCTCATGAGGGCCTTTCCTCCCCTGCACAGAGCTGCAGTGTAAGGAAGGCATTGGCAACGCTTGGGTCAGACGCATGGATAGGTTTGGTCTGGGTGTCCCTTCTTTCTGTGGCATGAGGGGAAGTAACGGAGGCACCGCAGGGTGGGCTGACAAGGACATTTCGACTACGTCTTTCAAGTACAAGATCTTAGCATTGCCTGATCCAGATCCTTTGGAACTGTTTCCCATCGATACCTTAAGCCCTATAACCCCTTGGCAAGGAAGGTGATGCCTCAGTGGTGCTCCCTAGTCTCTCCAGTTTAAACGCTTTGTAGAACTGTTCTCAAAACCCCCTCAAATGTCCATCCAGCAAAGGTGATCTGCGTCTTCGCCCCTTCCCTGCATATTTGGGATGCTGGCACGCAGCTGCTTGGTGAGGGGGACGGCTGAGCAGTGCAGTGCCCTGGCACTTTTGCCCTGCGTAGCAAGAGTTGGAGCAGGGACCCCCGTATGGCGTTTGGTAGCTCCGTGTCTCGGTGGCTGAGACGGCCGAGCAGAGCATCGCAATGGACCTAGGTCTTGCGTTCGACCTTCATCAAACAGCAGAATTACCTCACGTTTAGATGCAATACTTCACACAACGTCTTTTGGGAACAATTCTAACAGTATTTAAACTTCAGAACCAAAAGTATCTATCCTCTTTTTTCTTTTTTTTATTTTTCTGATATTTGAGACTTCCAATTCAAACAACTAATTTCCCCTTTCTTGACACTTTTGTGATGGTTTCCT